AGTACATATTTATTGTTCTCTTAAATAAGAAAATTTTATAAAAAATACTCTTGGAGGTGGTATTGTTGTCTATGGTAAGGTGACATCGGCTTTACATTTTCTCTATTACACATTTCTTTTTTAGTTCCAAGTTTAAACCTACGCCCTCTTTAAAAACGCAATTTATCTTTAGTCTAGGTTTAAACCATTGACTCAGGTTTTGTATTTTGAATGTTATTCTCATCTACCTTCAATTTGAATTGCAAAAACTGGCTCAATAGTTTAGACCTGGAATTAAGAAAAACCTTGATTTGTAATAAGCCCGTTTTTTTAAAAAACTGCAATTGGTTTAAAACTTAGGTAATGTAGGTACATTTACATACTTATCGCATACAGTGAATCACTCAAAAGTAATAGAATATTAATTCAATGTCAATCGTTTTTACTAAGTTCTACTTCTTAGAAGGCCGGCAACGCTTCTGTGACTCTTCTAGTGCTGCGTTCCAAGGGTGGCGCTGATCACTTACCATCAGGTGATCCGTCTACTCGTTTCCCTCCTACTCCGTACAGATACTGTGGATTGCTTTTGTATGTGTTTGTATTTATAACCTCTTCATCTACACTTCTCTTGAAGAGACAGACAGTACATGAGACAGAAACGACGCACGAGCATACTTGATCTTTCTCTAAATCTCAGTTTTTAGCAGTAGCAGACCCTAATATCATAGGTATAGAGATCAGATTGCACTGCGATATATGTAAACGTAGCTAAACTTAAAGTGACTTTAAATAAGTAGGTATGTTTACGGGAGTATGAAAAATATGTATAGAGGTATTTTCCTCGCAAAATCTTAGCCTTGATATGAAACACTAGAGACATATTATTCCCGTTTCCTGTAGTCCATTGTTTTATAACAAATAGGCAAAAGCCAGTAACAAATAGCATGGTTTGGAGGCATGGAGTCAAGGCCACGGCCTCCGTACGTAGGCGGGTTCCGCACCTATTGTTGTTGTATTGGACACACTATTGAATATTTCAACATTCACCAATATTTGGATTTGTTGCCTTATCATAAGTATCTACTATGGAATGAAATACTGAAAAACTTTCCAGTAAATGATACTTCCTCGTTTTATCTAAGTATAAAAAAAATACCGTGCTCATATTATTCTTATAGAAAGGAACTACCTAATAAAAAACATACACATTCAAGGAATTAAACACGACTTGTTATTGACATTTTGGAATGTTCTCAAACTAAATTTATTGATGCGCTATTGATTGACTGATACATTTATAAGAATCTGTTTTTATAAATTGTATTACTGAGTACTTACACTAAAATAGGGAGAGAACTTGAGATACCTTTTGACAGACGCATTCACAGAAATACAAAAATGCAGGTAGTATAATTAATGACAATATTAGTTAAACTGTGCTTAATGGATAACGTCATTAGTAATTGGCCTGGTTAATTAATTGCTTCCGAATATCAAGAAAACAACTCGACATAATATTTTGTTACTTTGAAAAACAGAAACAGAAAACGTGATTATCGCGAGATAACTAGTTTGGAGCCACGCTACGGGCTTTATCCTTCATCTTAACTAATGCTGCTCCTAAAACGCTTCTACCGTGTCTTGAAACAAAAATTATTATGCTACACATACATAAATTGAATTTAGAATAAATTTAAAATTTAAAAAATCCCGACCAACCGAATAAAAAAAACTAATTTGAAATCTCTTCATCCGTTCAGGCTCCAGGATGCCACAGATAGACAGACAGACAGACACGTTAAAGTTATAACACCCCTCTTTTCCCATCGGGGGTTAAAAAATAAACATTTACTAAAAATAAACAAGTTGATAAAGGTATCTCGTTTAATGATTACTAGAGTAAGCCGATAAACTAAATTACGAAGACAAAGTATTCCAAATGAAACAAATGTTTTAAGCTTTGAAACGGAATATTATAAATTGAAAACTAGTAACTGGCGGCTTTCCACCGGATGAATGAATTACTGATACAAATTTACTTCATTCACAGACACTTTGTGTTTAACGATAGTTGGTGTTCCAAAAAAGTCATTTTCTTATACAGTGTGTTTTCAAATTCGTACATCGTCAGCTTGTTTAAAATAATGTCAATTTTATATCTGTACTTAGGTATGTTTACCTACCTACATCAACATCTACATGTACACTATCGACGTCCTATCTTAAAAGAATGTGTGAATTTGCATTACAATTATCATTCTAGTGCCAAGCGAAGACATACGTGATGTTTCTATGAAGACCAGCCTTGGAGCGAACATGTCAAACACGTACTAAACAATATTATCTGGTTTTGTACTAGTAAAATGTTATCTACATTAATTCTAGAGAATGAAATTAAACGTGAAAGAATTCTTAGTTAGATGTAGCAATGATAGATTGATTGATAAGACGTTTAAGCTATGCGTAAGCATAAACCACAAAATACAAGCAAAATGGATATGTGTAAGTAATATTGGTTTTAGTTTTTTTTGACATTAAAAAGTGGCCAAACATTTTCCTTTTAATTAAAGTAATAATTGTATTAGGTATACCTAAATCGCATAAGAAAAACAAAAACATGTTTAGGTAATGCCTTAATGAGATTACGAAGAATTATTGCAAAATTAAATCAATGAAAGAAAATTATCTGTCATCAGAATATTTTATGGACAATAACTTCATCATTTATTGGTAAACAAATAAACACAAATAATTATCCGATTCCAATTTCAAATTTCAAATACCAGCCAGTTTTCACTGCCATAGACAATCAACGCGAAAGTTAGCGACAATTAAGCAAAGGAACACGGTTTACGGCCAATTAATATGCGACCATAGACAATTAGTTTTTTTAATGTCCCACTTTTGGCCTAGACCTTATGACTACAAAAATAGGTCTATTTAACCTCCAAGTCTTTATATAGGTAGAATATGGTGGTATGGTTTGAATATATGAAAACTAATTAAGGCCTCCACTTTCGAATACTGCTGGGTCAACGGAAGCGGCAGTGGAGATCTTGAATTAAAAGGTTCAAGGTGTGACATCGTGGGTGTGGCATTGAGAGTTTCTGTGGTGTCATTATAATTGTAGGTTAAATATAAATAACCTATAGTTCCCAAAACGTGGAGTTTTATGTAAGATATCGTGTAGATTATCCGCTTTTATTATACATCTGTTTTCTCTGAGAGAATTGGTGGATTATTAGCATATACTTTAAAGACAATACTAAACCAAATTCAATTTCTAATGGCAACCTTTTTTGTCGTTCTAATTACAAAAAGAAAGAAGGCAGGCAAATATCCTCTTGAATGTTCCTCTGATAATAAAGAAAGTCTCGTTCAAAGTTTTGAAACGTCAAAATAGAATAATGGTCTGTCAGTCTGTTCGTCAACTGGCGTAGGTGTTCAGTACTAGATTACTTTACTTTACTTTTTCCTAACACACTAAAACTACGTAAGAAAGTGAGTCTTAAGAAATCAGTACCTATAAAAATAAACTACATTGAACACAATACAAGTTAAAAATATCTAAACCACATATCCTTTTAAGTTTCTAAAATTAATGTTCAATTTCTAAACACGTTTTTATACTAGAAAGACTAGTGTCATTACAGAATATATACAGATTCCTGACGACGTAAGCAAAACAGCAAGTAACCCAGATGTTTCAGTTCTTGTTCAAAGCATAACCATTATTGTTCACAACTCACAGTTACCACAACTTTACCGTACAACTACTGACCAGACTACATTCCACACAAATATAAACTTTAATTACACGGCTATAAAACCGTTAATTCCGCAACAGTGTCAAGCTATATGCCCTGAGTCCAGCTGAACACACGCAATTTTACACCCTGCTTCACTATTTATAGAATTCAATATCGTTTAGTACAAATTATGGTTATTAATGGGCCAATACGAAGTTAATAAAGTATGAACAATTAGATAAAACAAAGTAACCGTTTGAGTGAATTTCTCGGATGCTGGTCATACATAGTAATGAGGTAGTCAAGATATTTAGTTCAACACATTGGTGTAAAAACAATAACATAGTTAACGAAGATAGCATAGTTATGGCTGTAGTTATTCATAATTACATTTGTTCATTACACTTTAGTACAATCTTTGTGGATCATCTTTCGATACACGTCAGGTGATACGCACGAATTCAAAGAATGTCATGTAATTTAACATCATTATGGAGTTCTTTTTAAAAACGGGACCAGTGTATTTGTAACAACGGAAAGCACAATTAATGTTCTAGTTTAAAAAAACAAAATTAACTGACTGCTTTTTATACTTGGTAATTCAAGACTCGAAGGACCAAAAAAGGACCAAGATCATAGAAACACTAACACAAGCTCCATTGATGAAATCAAAATATAATTCATTTATTTATTTACACACAGGTATCCGTATAAATCAATACAACAATCATTATTTGTTTGCTCATTAATTTTAAGTTTAATCAACGTCCAAGGTTCAATTGATGACTCATATTAATAAATATCGGATTAGGTTTGTGAATGGCGCAAAACGGGCACATGACCAACATGTTTGTAATGATAAGTATGCAATAACCGAATACATTCTAGATCTACAGTCGTATTATTGATGGCCTTGTCAACAAACAAAAAACTACATTGGTTTAATCTCGAATTGCTAAATCATATCACTTAAAAACCTGTCTTCGAAAACAAAACGTAAAAAAGGACATGGCGATCAGATATTGGCAATCTTTGTAAACATCATCATCGTTGAAATAATAATCCAGATATTCTAGATTTTCGTTGAACTTTGAAAATAATACAGTCAATAATTAAAAGATCATAAGTATATTGGGGAATCCTACGGATTACTGTTCGCGTGGCTAGCCGACTATCTGCGGAGTAGTTTTTTCGCTCGCCTTTGATGCTAAGCTAGCCTGTTGCAAAGTTTACTGTATCAGCTGAAAATCAAGATGAATATAGTATTCTTACCTGAAGGTGGTCTTTCCTTGGGGTAGCAGATGCGGAATAGACCCCGCGTCCTCGTGTAGAAATAATATTTGTTGTTGAGACTATCCAGGATCATCTGTGAGTTACCCGAATTTTCCGCTGCATAGTTCTAGAACAAAAGAAAAAATTGTTAATTATAATGAACAATCAGTGCTGCTCCAGACAATGAAACCTTATACCAAATGTTACCAATCCGTCTTCTTAAAAACAAAATAAGCGTCGACATAAAAACAATGAAACGGCATCGAATAACATTGCATTGTTGTATCAATAAGCTCAATGTATAGTATAATTAAAGTCTGATTTTAAGCGGAGTCTAACGGCTACAATATCCCACAGTTGAGCGGTAGTTGGCCACGTAATTACATGAAACTGGTCGTGGACCACATTCCTCTCGAGGCCTCCAAGGACCGAAGGCCGGAACGGATTGATTGACTTCAAGGGCATTCGAGGACCTCATTTGGGAAAAGGACTCGATTTATAGAATAATTTTTTCTGGTCCTTTTTGTTCTTTATTCAAAATTTAAAGACATTCCTCTATAGGTGTAAATAAATAATAAAAAATAAATAAATAAAAAAATAAAATGCATATTAAAATTAAAACATAGTCATATTCATATGTTCGCTGTTTAAAAATATTTTTATTATTACTAAATGGGCGTTTATTATCCGACTAAAGAATTATCTCAGAAGTTAATAGTTTTTTATGACACTTCGAATTATACTGTTTTTATAATAATACAGAGAAGCAGAACGCAGAACTAACAATTATCATATAATAATTATCTAACCACATTTATTGTTTTTGTTCTTAGTAGTATCCTGTTGATACTTCAGTCAATTAAACGTATGTAGGTGCATTTACCTACATAATCATATAAATACATAGTGTAGTTCTTGCATCACAACAAAAGACAACTACTGACTGAACTTGCCCGGTTATATTTATTATATTCTACATTGTCTGGACTTTAAAAAAGGGCTGACATTTGAGTTTGTTTCGGCATTTCTTCGCGGGTTAGGCAGATAGGAAATGCCGGTTTCATCTAGTTTTTTATGAAGAAAATTTGAAGCACGAAGGTTAGAATTTTCAAAAAAATCATTGCTTTAATTCATATACATATATTTTTGATTCACAAGCCAAATATCGCTAAGAGTAAAGAAAACAAGTTATTTATCACTTTCAAACAAATTCTCGGTAATACAACTATTGCCGCGCCTTTAAAATGTACACTGAATGATTTAGCTCATTAGAAAGTAGATATGGACGGACAGAAAGACGCCTTGATCTTCCTAACACGGTTAAACTTACACGACAAGTGTTCAGACTTAACAAACGTTTGCCTTTAACTTGGAATTAACATTAAGGAGATCGTGTATGCTTAAACACCTCTTTGGATCTAGTAAGTGCTTAGTAATTGCAGAGTTCACATCTGTGAAAGTGTCATGTTAATACATATAAGCCTACAGCACTTATAGGCTACTAGCATTCATTGAGGCTGCACTCTTGAATTATGAATCATGTTTACTTCGAAAGTGACTAAGAAGAGATTGTAACTACATATTTTAACTCGTAATTTTACAAGTTCCATGTTCCAACTTATGATAAGTTGATATACGAAATGTATATAATCGTCTTGTACTTAAAATAGGTTATATTACAAAAAAGTCGGTAGCCAAAGGACCTGGAAACCACAGTAAGTAAACATCAAAGAGAATGGTTGAAAAGTAGTCTTTATAACAACGACTATTGTAAAGAAAGGCATTGTGAATAGCGTTATCTATTAAAACAGGCTTCACATATCTAGTCATAGTAGATACCTTCCAAACAGCTTTGTCATCGACATTCTAGTTATAAAGCGGATGCCAGCCGTGAGAAACGCGGATCAAAAGGTATTACAAATCCCATCCTTATTCTGAGTATGAAACATGAATGGAATCTATTATTATTAAGCTCACCAGTCATACATATACTTTGAAATCGATGGTAAAGTCTTACGCCTTAGTTAATGTTGTTAATGACAGAAGAAAGCTTAGTCTTGTCTCTTTCTATACTTAATGATTTCTACACAAGAAAACAATTATTTATCTATTTGCAATATGACACACGAAAAATTAGTCTGTCTTTCTTAGGGTCAGGGTAATAATAATAATTATCTTGACCCATAAAATCTGGCATAGCTAATACACATAAGCTACAAAGAATATATCACTGTCAGTATATTTTTAAGTCGAATAGTATTAAAAAAAAATAAGAATGAGTGTTTTTTTTTTCACAAGTTCCGATGACTTTTGTAGTTCCTTTGACACTGATAGCATTCCGGTTTTCAAGTAAACCGGATTGTGCTGCTATTCGAAAAATACGTGACTCATTTGATATTTCAAAAAGGATAAAAAATCGATGCTGTCACCTTAGCAAAAATTTAAACTAAAATAACATTTGTTCTTCTATTTTTAAGTTCAGGCGTGGCGTCTCCAAGATAACCTTTCTACATAGGTCATCGCGTCTCAAAGCTTTTTTAAAAGGACCAGTTTAATAAAACCTGGTCCTTTTTCCTCCTTTCTCTTAAAGTGTGTGTTATTAAATAAACAAAACATACCCAATCAAATATATTCAGAAGATAATTAATCTAAACACTATCTATGTATAATATATCTAAGTAATTAAACACATAACAAAAAATAGACATTAAAGTTACAGCTACAATAGTCTATAATAGAAGCTATTATAGATATCACGACTTTCTTTATAAAATCATGAGACAATGAAGTGAACAAAAACATCAACAATGATAGCCCATCAGATGGTGCATTCCATCAAACCGGTTGTAATGACTTCCCGGTGGAAGAGACGAGAGGAAAGAGGTGCCGACGTCATCAGTTCTTGAGAAAAACGTCAATGATAAAACATTGACGCTATACTGACAATTGTCATTATACTCATTGTGTTTATGAGAACTGTTAAATGAATAAATTGCATTTATTAAAGTTTTATTTGTTTTAGAAGCTTTTCGAAACATGCAACGTTTCAACAAACGCTTGTTAATTTTATTGGATAGAAGGACCAACTTTTTAAAGTCACCTGTGTATTTTTTGCATTAACAATAATACAGATTAGGATAACTTTGCATTGTTCATGTCTTCATTTTAGAGCAAAAGCATTCATGGGTTGATTCCCGATGAAAAGGTAAGTAAGTAGATACCTAATAAACTTAAAGTTTTACCCGTTTTGTAAAAATATTTTTGTATTTCCAATACAGTCGATTAAACTTGTTCATCAACATTTCAAGCAATCAGTGTTTTTTCATTAAATTTACTAATGACTTGATAGGCGTCGTGATTCAACAATTAAGTCCAATTTTTCATATTTGCATGACCAACAAAATCTAAATCAAACAGTTTTTCCCGTCAAACGAGACGTGAAAGTCGTTATTTATATGTTTTATTAACTGCTCGTCTGTCGTCTAGGATGGACGTGGCTGTTGGTCACGTCCCTGATTTGATTGTATTTGGTACACGAAAGATAAAAACAGCAGTACTCATTTGTATTACAAATACAAATGTGCATGATGAATTTATTATTGAGAACATGCATCTACACAGACTTGCATAATAAAGACAGAACTTTGGCGTAAGCTCTTTCTAAAATAAGTCTAAGTTATTAAATCTAGAAATTGGAAATCTAGCTTTACAATTTCTACTGAAATTTCCAGCCTGCTTTGAGCAATAGTGTGGTTAATGCTCATTCCTCCTGTGTGTGAGAAGAGGCCTTTTCTCAGCAGTAGGATATCCAAAGGCATTTATCTATTTAGGTACAAATGGTCATAAAGATATCCAGTAGGCAAAATCTATAGCGAATGGTCTTTAGACATTCGTAAAGCTATTCAAATATTGGCAACACATTTATTGCATATTTTATCAATGAGAATTCAAATGATACTGACTATGATTTCACAGTACGTAAAAGGCAACTCGTTTTGTATCAATCGCCGAATTTAGGACACTGGTATTTTAATTACTACCAATTTGAAACTGGGTGAAGTATATCCACTTTTCCAAGTTTGTGTGAATCAAATATTTGATCATAGGTGTAACTCTGTGAGCTTGGAAGGTAAAATTGTTAAGATGCGGTTACATGCTGTCACCGTATACATATATGAAATACGTTTAGGTTTTAACATGGGTAAAGTTAATATTATTAGGCGTATGGATCTTAAGTTTTATTTTTTACTTTTCATTAGGAGTGAAGCCTCTATTTTTGCAAGGGTACTGACCAACACCTAGGTAATGTAGACAATTCATTTTACTATGTAGAAGAAAACTCCTTTGATTTCTATAAAATAAGTTGTTAAGGAGTTATTATTGATCTAATACCGCCCTACTTCATGCAATGAGAGATCATTAGGTTTTTGCTCCAACGCTAGCCTCAAGATCATCAGAGCGATCAATCGACGGAGCGAAACGTTTCTTCAACTCGACTGGAGTTCATCGATCGATGTTTTTATCGAGTCAACTAAGCTATCCGATTACGATTATCGATGGGAAAGTGCTATGAAAGTCATATTTTATTACAGTGTCAATGGTATGGGATTGGCGGGAGAAATTTGATGTATGTTATGTATCCTGTGGTATTTATTAAATGGTGACTGAGTAATAGTTTTATTTGTATGAGAAGTTTCTTGAAGAGACCTTATATACTTAATCTTTTTAAATGGTTATTAGCAGCTCATTGAGAATGTTTATAAGGTTTTGGTAGATATGTATTATCTATGGATTACTCAAAATCTGTTCTATGTGAATACTCGATTACACCCTGCTGCTTTAGATTTATAGACAACGTTCTTAGTAAGAACAGAAAACCGCGTGCTTATAATTCTGTGTATAGAGCTCCGAATAGGATCATTGTTAAAAATTGCTTGAGAAAGTTACGAAATTAAAATTAAATTTCAATATCATTGCACGATCACTAATTTATTTTCGTTCGTCATAAATCTCAAACGAATATGACAACATCAAAACGTTTATTTATTACTGTACAAGCACACACATAGAATCGTAAATCATAACATAAACAAGTGCAGCGAAATTGCAAATTGCATTAAAACATTT